CCCAGTAATCCCACTTCTAGGACTATATCTCAAGAAACTATAAACACCAATCAGAAAGGATATATGGACCCCTATGTTCATAGCAGCAAAATTTACCATAGCTAAGATTTGGAAACAGCCTAAATGCCCACCAGCAGATGAGTGGATTAGAAAACTATGGTAAATCTGCACAATGGAATAAAGAAAGAATCCTTACAATTTAAAGCAGTATGGATGGATCTGGAGAGCATTATGTTAAGTGAAATAAGCCAGGCAATGAAAGAAAAATACCACATGATCTCACTCATTTATGGAAAAATAAAGAACATTATAACTGGATGAACAAAAAGATAGATACAGAGGCAGTAAAGCACTGAACAGACTGTCAAATTACAGCAGGAAGGCTACGGAGTGTTGAGGAGGAGGAGGGAGAGATCAACCAAAGGACTTGTATGCATGCATATAAGCACAACCAATGGACACAAGACACTGGGGGTGGATGGGATGAGGGCATGCAACAAGGGGTAGGGGAGGATGGGAGAAGGTAAATGTGGGGGGGAAAGATATATGTACTATTATATATCATAGGCACATTAAACAAAAAAAAAGAAAAGAAAAAATAAAGTTAGACTAAATCATCTCAGCAGTGATATATGGGGGCCTCATCACCTATTTTTGTATTTTTTAGCCTAGACAAGAACTTGATTGTTGCTTACAAAGTAAATAATACTGGGGTTGCTCCCAAGCCAAGGCTTCTTGATCCCTTTAAAGACTAGGGTCAGCAAGGGCCCAGGCAAGTCAGGAAGTAGAGGTGCTCACTGACTGGTCTCTGGTCCTCTTAGGGCTGGTGCTGTGTGCTCCATCCTTGTGGGTGCAGGGACCTATGATCAGTTTGAGATCTGGACACGAAGAAAAGCGAGAGTTGGCAGGGACCCTTCTCCTGAGTGGAGACCGGAGCCTTCACTATGGCTTTCAGGCAGAGCCCGTTCTTACTGTGATGCCTCCAGGGCAGTTCTGCTGGGCAGTGCTTCTCTTTCACAAGTCAACAAACACAAATTTTACATATCCTCTGCTGCACTTTAAAGTAAGAGTAAGTTAAATCCTAATTCTGTAGGAAAGTTTCTAAGGGAGAAAATTAAGCCTACTACTTTGGTATAGATTGATGGATGCTAAGGTTTTTAAAAATAAATATAGGAAATAAAATAAAATAAATACATACAGGTGGTAACCATATTCCAGTGTTCGTGTGAAACAAGTGTCACCTAAACCTGAAATTTTTTCCAAGAGCCACGTGGAAGGATGAAAAACTGTTCTATATGCAACCATTGCCCCCCAAACGTGCCTCAGACCTGCATAAGCACAGAACTCACCATGGACATGTTCGGCCCTTGTCCTGAACACTGTCTCAGATCTCTGCGGTTCTTGCTTTGGAGGGGTCATGTCTACATAGGGAGCTGGGCTCAGCCTTCCACTGAGAGGCTCTGGAGTCTCAAAGGATGATAACAATTAATTTATTGTGTCTTCTGTTAATCTCATATCTCTTACTTGTTTTGACAATAAAATTCCTTACTACTTTCAAAAACAAACAAATATATTTAAATTTTTTTGAACATTTACAGCATCTTGGTTCCTTTGGAAAAACACTGGTAAACTATTTTAATAATTATTTCATGGTCTGTAAATGAAATACTGATGAACATTGAGTATTTCTCTAGGCTCACACTCTGTTGCATGAATTCCTGTTAGAAAACCCTGAAATCAGATTTTTTTTTTTTTTTTTTTTGGTAAGAAAAATCTAAAGTAAATTTATGCTTCGTCCATCAAAGAGATATTGAGTGATGAGTTGTGTATTTAAAGAATAAAATGAAATGAAATGAAATGAAATAAATAAAATAAAATAAAATAAAATAAAAGCCTTCTTATTCTGCCTGTCCAGCCCTTCACTTGGAAAGAAAGCGCTAACCTCCTCTCATCCCATTCGTCAGCACCACGGACAGCACCACAGAAAGGAAAGCTTTTGCAGACTTGGTTGTCGAGGACAGTATTAGAACAGAACTGACTGCTTTGAAGATATCAGATCAGTCATGGATGAACAAAAACCGAGATATGAATAGTAGAGAACAGGAAAAAAAAGAGAGAGAGAGAGAAGAGAGGAAAAGAGAGGAGAGGAGAGAGGAGAGGGAGGAGAGGAGAGGAGAGGAGAGGAGAGGAGAGGAGAGGAGAGGAGAGGAGAGGAGAGGAGAGGGGAGGGGAGGGGAGGGGAGGGGAGGGGAGGGGAGGGGAGGGGAGGGAGGGAAGGAGAGGAGAGGGGAGGGAAGAGGGGAAGGGAAGGGAAGTGAGGAGAAATGGGAAGCGATGGCTTTAAGTTCTAGGAATGTCTTCCTGTTTTTGAGATATGTCTTATCTCCTGGGCGATTTGGATTGAGGAAGATTGAGAAAAATGGGATCAGAAAAGTTCCCAGGACACTTCAAAGATTTCTTGAGGAACAATGACTGCTGACTGATGGGTGGAGGAAAGCACCCATCAGAAAACTCTACTTCCCACTACAATATGTCATATCTTAGTAGCTGAGACATCACTAATGGCACCACGAGCACAAAAGATAAAGTTGAATGGAATACTCCATGGAAAGTGGACTGAGTTGACCAATATCATCAAAGACAGGGCAATTATTTTGAGTTTGTTTAGCAGGGCCACCAGGTAGAGTTGGCTAGGTTATTCCAATCAGATGACCACCAGCCAAGGGGAAAGTACATATGAAATCTAACTCATATTCTGCTGACCAAGCCAAGGGCCCCAGGATAGTTTTCATCCACTTAGTGCAAGAATTACCTAATTCCCTAAAATATGATGAGGTCCTAGGATCCATAAACAAAATGCAGAAGGGACCAAAATGAAGACAGAAAAAATGAAAGGAAAAGATTGTGCCTCATCAAAACTCAAGAGTTTATAAGTAGTGTTTGGGGGGGAGAATTTTATTCCAGAGTGAAATGAAACCCAGAAGAAAGGCTGAACAGTGCCGTTAGCAATATGTTGCCACTTCAAGGCTCCTGGATGTTAGGTTGGAGGAAGACTAAGGAAAGAAGCATTTCAGTTAAGAAGGTTGGAGTTGAAGAAGAAGCTGTGGCAATGGACATGGTGAGAGATCATGTGATTGATGCCCAAGGTAGTCCTTGTGGAGAAAGAGGCTATTTCCAGAAGACTTTCTTAAATCTGCCGTAGTCTATTTTTATGAATAATCTCTCCTAAGTATGTCTCTTAAATTATTCTCCAGACTTGCTAAGAGGCTGGTTATCAGAGCCCTTAAAATAGTCATTCTGACATCTAGGCAGGAACTCAAAGAAGCTGAGAAAGGAGGGTGCATGCTATTGACGCAGAGTAACAATTCTAAAGAAAACGGTAGATATGAACCTGGCTGGTTTTCAGATATGAAAACCACGAAGCAGTGGCTGCTATACATCTCCTGAGGCTGCCTGTTAAAATAGAATTGTGGGTTGCATCTTTATGTCTGTTTCAGCATCTATGTCGGCCATGTATGAGGCAGTATTTTGTCTCTTTAGTGCACATATTAGGAGAAGTTTATACTCAGTTCACTTCATGAGCACCAGGCCCTGGTTTTGATGATGAGATGCTGGACTTGTGTCCCAGGCTTGTTCCTGTAATTGCCTTACATCTGAAAATTCCTTAGAAAGTGGTCTGTGTTTTGGGTATGTGTGAAGCGTAACTGTCTCTGGGACCTGATGGTGGAGCAGTAGCTAGTCTCTTAGGATGATTTCTATGAACCACAAGTCAACATACCCATGCTCTAGTATAGTCTCCTCCACATTATTATGGCTGTCTCTCTGTCTTTCTGTCTCACCTTTGAACACTAGGATGTGAAGGGAGTGGCAATGCATGGCTTCTAGAGTTAGGTCCTATCATACCTTGCACCTTCTGCTTGGGCCTTTTCAAGGAATCACTATGGCAGCCATGAAACTTAAGTGAGCTGATGAGGTCTAAAACAGCTATGAAGGTTGTGTGAAGAGAAAGAACCAACCAGCCCCCAGCTCTTTCATCCAACTCATGTGAAGTGTGAGACATGGGGAAAGCACCCATCAGAAAACTCAACTTCCTGCTACAATCCAATTAAGGCCACAAAATACACTACCCACATGAGTGCAGGACACCTGCAAACCTGGGAGGCATAATAATGAGTTATTGTTTTACAACAACGTATGTTGGAGAGGTTTGTTATTCTGCAACCATTCTGTGGGCCATCACAACAGTGTCAGGTCACTGCATCATGTGTATAAATTTCCTTGTTTTAACAACAATTTTATCCTCCCTGATCTATCAATACAATCAGAACCGTTCATTACCAAACATGTCCACGTTTCTGCCCACATAACTTTAAAAAATCTTGCAATTGTTTGAGTACAAGAAAAAAGAGATTCTTTGAGGTAAATCTTTTTGGTTTTCCAACTACTTCTGGGATGAAAACTTTTTAAGTGCTGGCCTTGTCATTTTCTTTATTCTCCCCAGTGCAGCTCACACAGGGCCAGGCACAGTGATAATATATATTCAACATCCTTGGAATAAAAGAAAATTTAAGAAATCTCACCTGATTGCTCTCCAAATACAAAGTTCCTTCCCCAACTACCAATAGCTTTGTGGCTTGAGCCAGATATCTAATATCTTGGTTTAGTTGACTGAAATTGGGGAAGGATTTTGCTTTAGAGTGTCCAGAGTGTCTGACATATCCTAAGTACTACATAAGGATATTGTCACCAATGTCTTCTCAGACATCTCATGACCCTATCACTCCTTGTGTCTGAGAAATATTTATCCTCTTTGATTCCTTGACCTCTCCCTCAGTACTCTCATGCCCCTCTTAATGTTGAGCACTTAACATTTTTTCTCTTTCCCCCTCAGAAACATCAAGCAACTCTTTTTTAAGTTCTCAGAAGTTTAATGACCAAGTGTGGGGGAAGGGTGAGAACCCATGTTGTTAGCGAGCTCTGGCAATCACAGCATCTCTTAGGTGGAGGGATCTCCTTGACAATGGGAATTCTGGTCACATCCTTCTCTACTGGACAATCACGGAAGTCAGGGAGACATCTCTCCACACCTGGATCATCTTCACAGTATTTGGTGGGAGTCGATGGGAAAATGTGTAACATTGACGGCCATTTATCTTTATCTGGAAGGGAAAATGTATCATAAATACAGTATGCCACCAAACAAACTTACCATCTTTCTTCCTATTTCTGCCCCATAAACACACCATCCACCCAGAAACTTTCCGTCACACTTCAAAAGCCAGTAGACTTGCTTCATTTTATAACCTACATTTTGCGACTATTTCAGACAGTTGTTTACTCTATTTTCTGTGATTCCCTTATTCCTCCATTGAAGAGCTACCACTTTCTGTTGCATTGTCTATGTCGGCCAGGCCTTCCCTCTAGCTTAGAAGATTTTCAAGTGCCATGAACTGTGTCTCATAAATCCTGAGTGTCTGTATCCTTCCTTTCTTTTTTTTAAATCCTCACCTGAGGATATTTATTTCCATTGCTTTTTAGACAGAGTGGAAGGGGAGGGAGGGAGAGAGAGAGAGAAACATCAATGTGAGAGAGACACATCAGAGCCAAATATCATACTTGCAACCCAGGTATGTGCCCTTTACTGTAACTGAACCCAGGATCCTGTAGTCTGAGGGCTGACACTCTATCCACTGAGCCAAAATGGCTAGGGCTTCAGTATTCCTAAAGAGGTAGAGTTGTATATATGATTTTAAATGAGGATAATTTAAATCAGCTTACAAGCATATGAAAAGATACCTGGCTTCAATCATAATAAGATGTGAATATTTTGCTTCTCCATTTAGAAAAGTCAGAATTTTTAAATATACACTTCATTACCATGCCTATGGAAGAAAGTCAACTTTTTAAGGTCTTAGTTTTTCAAATTTAAATTGCACACTCTTTTCCAATCAGCTGTTCCATTTCTCTGAATTTGTCCTTTCATATTCGCATTGAGAGGTTGATAATAACAAAAATGTTATATAGAATGCAGCTTCATTCATGAAAGCAAAATATGGAAACCACCCAAATATGCATGAATAAGGGTCAAGTTAAATCGTTCTGAGAATACTTCTATTGGAATATTAGGTGAACATTAAATAATGTGAAAACATCACAAGCAGAATGATTTCTCTAACATACATTTTTTGTAATTATTTTTTATTATATAGTTTTTAAATTCTCACCTGAGGATATTTTTTTCATTAATTTTTAAGAGAGTTGGAAGAGAGAGGGAAAGACAGAGAGAAACCCATCGATGGTTGTCTCCTGCATGAGTCTTGACCAGGGCCTGTACAGGAAGCAGCCTGCAATCTAGATATGTGCTCATGACCCAATAAAATCAGGACCCTTCAGTCTGCTGGCTGATGCTCTATCCACTTAGACAAACCAGCGAGAGCAGTAGTCGGCAAACTCATAAGTCAACAGAGCCAAATATCAACAGTACAATGATTGAAATTTCTTTTGAGAGCCAAATTTTTAAACTTAAACTTTTTCTAATGTCACTTCTTCAAAATAGATTTGCCCAGACCGTGGTATTTTGTGGAAGGGGCAAAAGAGCCGCATGTGGCTCACGAGCCAGTTTGCCATCCACAGAGCTAGAGCATCTAACATACTTTTTTTTTTTTTTTTACAACAAATAAACACTTGTCCTCAATGTGTGATTACTAGAAATACTTGTAACATCATTTATTTAAAAGGAAACAAAAGCATATACAGATACATGATGATAGATGATAGATAAATAGATAGAGAGATAGAGAGATAGATAAGTAGATAATAGAGTTGTACAAGCATATAGTATTTCAATAAAGAGCACAAAAGGACTAGTAATTGTTGCTCTGGAGAGAGGGACTGGATTTAGGAATGTAAAAACACTCAATTGTAAACTAATTATAATTACTTATGTGCATATTTTAACAATCTCCTACATGAAAACTGAAAGAATGAGAGCACACATGGCTGCAAGTGAAAATGGAGGAAATTTTCCATGATGGAGAATAAGGCATGTGTGCTGATTTTGCCCTGAGCATGGCAGTACAAGCAGAGGGTGCTCTGTGATGAGAGGGGCAGGAGATGAACCACAAGTGACTCTGAGGGCCAGGCCAGGGAGAGCTGTGTGCTCCTCTGACAGCCCGTACAGCCCATGTAGTGGATGCTCCTGGGTACACTCACCTGGTACTCATTTTGAAGCACCGAGATGCACAGCTCAAATGGTTGGCCATCCACAAAAGGCATACCCTCGTATTTCTCCTCTGATTTCCAGTCCCCAAACTGACGGCTGTTCATCACCACACAGTTGCCAAAGTACACTCGGAAAGAGAAGGCAATGTCTGAGTCCTCTTGAGTTCCAGTGTGGAAATCCACCTGCAGTTCTGGTCTCATGCTGAAGGCAAAGCACAAAGCATGTGGAGCAGGACCCTTCTTCATAGGGCCCACTTTTCACACACACACACACACACACACACACACACACACACACACCCTTCCCAACTCCTGCTGGGGGAAGGAAGGCCTTCCTGGGTGACACTGCAGTATGTGTCCCAGTGGGGTGCTTCAGCTTGTCCTGCCCTGGCTGGAGAGATGCCTCAACTCTTAGCCCAGGTCTCACACCGAGCAGCAGTCACTGGCCTGGGGTTACTTTTCATGCCCTGGAAATACTGCTGTGTCCTTTGATGACAAACCTCAATTCCAATGCCTGAGTGACCCCAGCCCCCAGACTTCAACACTTACCCACAGACATGCACCTGTAGGTTTTAATCCTGGCACCAGATGGGTCTCCAGGAAATGCAACTGTATTTGCTATCATTATGCTAATTACACATCTCAGTGTCACTCATGCATGAACCTCACTTCGTTTTCCCACTATAGGCCACACAGTACTCACCTGAAAGACACGGCAGGTGTCCCTTTGATTGTCACTGAAGAACCAATGTTTAAGGATGTAAGTTTTGTGTATGGGACCTGCCATGGGAGAAGAGAGTGGATGAGAGGGACAAAGCCAGGTGTGGTCTCCCCTCCTACAACACCCAGTGGCAAAGCAGGATAAACATCAAAGGACAAACTCTGAGGGCCCCCTTCTCCCCCCCTCATCACAGTCAGGACCCTGTGTCCGTGAAGAAATGAGAGAATTGTCATTGAAAGCAAGCTTTCAAGAACCAGGCTTCCTGGATTCTAATTAGGCCTCTCACTAGCAGTGAGACTGTAGATCAATTACCTGAATTCTCCTTGCCTTTGTCTCCTCAGTAGAAGGAGGATTATCAGAAATTCCTACTTCAGAGGGAGCTCTCAGTAACACATGAGCTAGTAGATGTAAAACCTTTAACCTGATCACTAGTATGTATGGGGTCTAAACAGGGGTGACCTAGCAGAAGGGAAGGGCCCTTTCTGAAGTACCACCCTCTGATCATTTTCCATCTGAAACTGTAGAGACAAGACAAAACTATAACAATATAAATAGTCACGTCGATGAAAAACATTTGTTAAAGGAGAGGGCAATGAGAATGGAAAAAGGAGACGCCTGTGTGTGGGCTATATATGCCTCAGAATTTTCAAGGACGTGCATGTTCTTTCAGGAACGTGCACAAGTCACTGAGGACACAGCCAGTACTGCACACAGGGTCGGGGGCAGTAACTGAAGAAAACAATGAAAGAAACCTACACATTGTCCATTGGTATCTACTGTTAGCTTTGTCTGGACTGAGGCTGATTTTGTTCCTTCCATCTTCAGGTGATCCATTCCCTGAAACCAAGTCCCACAACCACCTTCCCCAGAGAGCCAGGTCACATTTTGTTGTTGTTGTTGTTAGGACAAAGGAAGGACTGGCGTGGGGAGGAGACCTGAGGCAGGAGCAGGGGTCACCATGTGCTGACCTAGACAGGAGATCCCCTGCCCCACAGTCTGAGTTCACCTCCCCCAGGTTTCTTGAGAAGAGGCATCTGAGGACTGACTCATTCTGCTCTCATTAGTGCTCAGGGAGGAGTCCTGGGAAACCCACACTCCCCAAGACTCCAGTTCTGCCCACCAGGAGCCACAATGATACACACAGAAAGACATACCGTTACTTAACAGTCACTACCATGTAGGGGAGAACACTCACATGCAGACACAGCTACAAACATCCACACTTCAACACACAGTCACAAATTATCACACACAGAGAGAATCACACAAAGTCACATTGAGACATGGGACTCACCATATCACATACCTGCCAACATTCCCTACTGGCATGCACAGTTACTCAACCTATGCCCCAGCTGCATCTCTCTCTCTCTCTCTCTCTCTCTCTCTCTCTCTCTCTCTCTCTCTCTCTCTCACACACACACACACACACACACACACACACACACACGATACTCCACCAGTCATGAACACAAATGTACAATCTCACCCTTGCACCACACACACAGTCCTTCATCCCAGTCAGCTGTCTATTTCCCACACAAAGTCACAGTGTCTCAACAGAGTTCACACTCAGTCAGACACCATCAAATGCTGGCATTGGATTACACTGGCCCAGGGTCAACACAAGATTCCCCATCAGGATTCCATCATCATATGCCCAGGGTCTCTCTTCCACACATTCACAACTGCTAAATGCCCCAAATATTTTCATCTTAAACTATCTTGCACTCTTTCCTCCTTCCTTTATGGGACCTGGGATCACTAAAGTCTGTGTCATTTCTACTCACCTGTACCACTGCCATTGTTGTGTCTTCTGTTGAACAGCTCTTCGTAACTGTGTCTAGTTGTGTGTGTGAGCTCTGTGAGCAGCAGATTATAAATAATTCCTGGAAGCCCCACCCTCTGGATTCATTCCAGTTTCTAAGCCTCTTCTAGAAAGATTTCCAGCATGAAAAGGGGTGGAGTATCACAAATAGAATCAATCACTACATGTGTGGAAGTTCTTGTCTTTAGATTGACTAAGGAAATGAAACCAAATATAAGATACAAATACCTAATGGAAAAACAGTTTTAGCCTTTAAGCTTCACCCCCATGGTCAACTTCCAACATACATCAATCAACATGGGACATTAAAATGAAAAATTGTTTATAATAATAAAACTTAATAAGTTATAATTTAATCATGATAAGCTTTTCAATAAATTAATGTATTTTCCGGAGAATAAGACGACTTTTGAAACGGGAAAAAAAAGTCAGCCGAAAATCGGAGGTCATCTTATACGCCAAGTATATCCCGAAAAACATCTCGATATGCCGCTAAATGAATTTTTAACTGTAAAATTAGAGGGTCGTGTTATATGCCGGAAAATACGGTATGGCTCATTTAGTTAACAGCACATTTAAAAGTCATTTTAGCCCTAACCGTTTTTGGCTCAGTCAATAAAGCGTCGGCCTGCAGACTAAAGGGTTCCAGGTTCGTTTCCGGTCAAGAGCATGTACCTTGGTTGCAGGTACATCCCCAATGTGGAGTGTGCAGGAGGCAGTTGATTGATGTTTCTCTCTCATCAATGTTTCAAACTCTCTATCCCTCTCTCTTCCTCTCTGTAAAAAATCAATAAAATACATATTAAAAAAGTTTAGTCAATTAACAACTAAAATACATCTATATAGAGGTACCCCTCCCTATGCTTTCCAGAACTTACAGTTTAATCCCTCCTTCTTAAATATAGAAAACTTCAGTGGCTTGGATATTTCAGCATTTAGGCCAAGAGATTGACTAGGACTAGATTTGGGAGTAGATGTCACAGGACAAAATCTCCTAAAGAGGTTTGGTCTGAGACTTTAGCCCCTCCAAGGACATTGCCACGCCACCATGGTGCAAAAGGAGGCAGGATATAAGGAAACATGTGGCTGGGTAGAACGGGTTAAATGTTCTGTATGTGCCCTAAATAAGGGAGACTGTTATGCTTGCGTGCCAGGAAGGCTAGAGGGCCAAGTGGTCCCATTTCCATTCAGATGAACCTCAGACAGTAACGGGACAGAATGTGTGCTTGCCCTGTATCAGGAGGAAACCATGTGGGGAAATGCTTCCTGTAAGACTCTCTCCATATTGTTCCCATCCAACAGAGGTAAAGAACAAGGGTCCCCTAAAACAATCCAGCCGGCAACTTCTGACATAAACTACACCTTCTCAAGGGGGGGGTGGAGGGACAGTACTCAGACTTTAGGGGAAATTTATCTGGATGCATAAATGGCCGAGTATCCTCAAAGCCAATCATTCTGCACAGTTGATACTTTGTGCTGATGTCTGCTGGTGATGCGGCGGGGGGCCATTACCTGTGACGTTGCCCAGCAATTAGACTGGAATGTGCACTATCCCTTTCACTTTGGCATATTGTAAACCTTTATTGTAAACCTTTTTCAATGGACAGACAGACTAAGAAGAGAGAGAATCCAGGGGCTCCTTTGATCCCCATATTTACACTGATCCCATTGGGGTTCCAGGAGGAGTGCCAAAAGAGTTTAAAGCTAGAAATCAGATTGCTGCCGGGTTTGAATCTGTCCTATTCTGACGGCCCACTCTAAACAAGAACAGAGGTTGGGTTAATTATATTTACTACAACCAACAAAGGATTGTTAACTATTCACAAGATGCAGTTAAAGGAATAGATGAACAACTAGATGCCAGTAGTAGGATATCTTGAGAGAATAGGTTGGCCTTGGATATAATTCTGGCAGAAAAAGGAGGAGTATGGATAATGTTGGGGGGCCAGTGTGGTACATTCATCTCTGACAACACAGCTCCAAACGGAACCATCACTAAGGCCCTACGGGGATTAACAACTCTAACTAATGAGTTAGCTGAAAATCCTGGAATTGAGGATCCTTTCTCCTATTTACTAGAGCAGTGGTCAGCAAACTCATTAGTCAAGAGAGCCAAATATCAATAGTACAATGACTGAAATTTCTTCTGAGAGCCAATTTTTTAAACTTAAACTTCTTCTGCCAAAACCGGTTTGGCTCAGTGGTAGAGCATCAGTCTGCAGACTGAAAGGTCCCAGGTTCGATTCCGGTCAAGGGCATGTACATTGGTTACAGGCACATCCCCGGTAGGGGGTGTGCAAGAGGCAGCTGGTTGATGTTTCTCTCTCATTGACCTTTCTAGCTCTCTATCTCTCTTCCTTCTTCTCTGTAAAAAATCAATAAAATATATTTTTAAAAAAAAAAACTCTTATAATGCTACTTCTTCAAAACAGACTCGCCCAGGTCATGGTATTTTGTGGAAGAGACACACTACAGGGGCCAAAGTGCCACATGTGGCTCATGAGCCCCAATTTGCCGACCATGGTACTAGAGCAATGGTTCAGAAAATGGAAAAGAATAATGGTATCTATACTCACCTCTTTGATGACCATGTTAGAAGTTACAGTAATGGGATGTATGAAGGATCATATTTAAAGGTTAATTGAAACCACATTGACCAAACAGCAAAATAATCTCCTTCTCCTAGACACCTCAGAGCATGAAAGTCAATGAATGTAGCCGAGTTTGAAGAAAAGAATTAAATAAGAAAAGGGGGACAAAGTTGGAGGAATCACAATACCAGATATCAAGCTGTATGACTCTTCTCAAAACTGCCTGGTCCTGGCACAACAACAGATATATAGACCAATGGAACAGAAGTGAGAACCCAGAAATTGACCCCAGCCAGTATGCTCAATTAATAATTGACAAAGGAGGCAATAGCATCCAATGGAGTCAAGACAGTCTCTTCAATAAGTGGTGCTGGGAAATGTGGTCAGATACATGCAAACAAATGAAACTAGATCACCAACTTACACCATACACAAAAATGAACTCAAATGGGTAAAGGACTTAAGCATAAGACAGGAAACAATAAAAGTCTTAGAAGAACCCATAGGAAGCAAAACATCAGATATAACTTGTAGTAATATCTTTTACCAATACAGCACCTAGAGCAATAGAAACTAAGGAGAAAATAAACAAATGGGACTACACAAAAATAAAAGGCTTATGTACAGAAAAAGAAACCATCAGCAAAACAACTAAAAAGCCCACGCATGGAAGAACATATATGCCAATGTTATTACCGATAAGGGTTTAATCTCCAACATTCACAGGGAACTCATACAACTTAACAAAAGGAAGATAAACAATCCAATAAAAAAAAAAATGGGCAAAGAACCTAAACAGACATTTTTAGTAAGTGGACATACAATAGGCCAAGAGGCATATGAAAAAAAAATGCTCAATGTCACTAATCATCCAAGAGATGCAAATCAAAACAACAATGAGGTACCACCTCACACCTCTTGGAATGGCTAACATCAACAAATCAACAAACAACAAGTGCTGGCAAAGATGAGGAGAAAATTGAGCCCTCATACACAGCTGGTAAGAAAGCAGACTGATACAGCCACTGTGGAAAACAGTATGGAGTTTCCTCAAAAAATTAAAAATGGGACTTCCATTTGACCCAGTAATCCCACTTCTATGAATATACCCCAAGAAATCAGAAACATCCATCAGAAAGGATATATGCACCCCTATGTTCATAGCAGCACAATTTACCATAGCTAAGATTTGGAAATACCCTAAGAGCCCCTCATCAGATGAGTGGATTAAAAAACAGTGGTACATCTACACAATGGAATACTACACTGCTGGAAAAAAAGAAGAAAAAAAGAAAGAAAAAAAGAAAGAAAGAACTCTTACCCTGGTCAGTTTGGCTCAATGGCTAGAGCATTGACCTGCAAACCTACGAGTCCCAGATGGATTCAAATCAAGGACATATGCCTGGGCTGTGGGATGCATCCCCAGAGGGGGCGTGCAAGAGGCAGCCAAACAGGCATTCTCTCTCCTCATTGATGTTTCTCTCTCTCCCTCTCCCTTCCTCTCTGAAAACAATAAAAATATTAAAAAAAAAAAAAAAAAAAAAAGAAAGAAAAAGAAAAAGAAAGAAAAAAGTGTTACCATTTGCAACAGCATGGATGAACCTGGAGAGCACTATGCTAAGCAAAACACACAACTTGCAGGAAGATAAATATTACATGATCTCACCCATTTGTGGAATATAATCAACTCCATAAACTGATGAAGAAAAATAGATCCAGATACTTAGAAGCATCAATCAGATCGTCAAGCCTCTGAGGGAAGGCAGAGGAGGGTGGGGGCCTGGGGTAAGTGATCAACCAGAGCACATGTGTCAAACACAAGGCCCGCGGGCCAAATCCATCCCGCCAGGCCTTGCAATGTGGCCCGCACCGCGCTGTCATCACTGCACTCCGCTGTGTTTCCATCACAATGACAGTTTATGACTGTTCAGTAAACCATTCGGCCCTCGATTTAGGCTGGATTTTAGATTTTGGCCCCTTCTCTGATTGAGTTTGACACCCCTAAACCAGAGGATTGTATGCATGCATGCATTTAAGCATAACAAATTGATACAGACTCTAGGAGGGCAAGGGCATGTGCTGGGGGCGGGAGTGGCTGGGGAGAGGTCAATGGGGGTGGGGGGTGTAAAGGAGTCATATATAATACTTTTAACAATAAATCATAAAATGTATGAAAGACAAAGAAAAGGGGGAATTGTGAGGATGAACAAGTCATCTTTTATGCCAAAGAAGGGAGTTTAAGCAACAACCATGTTGAAACCACAAAGGTCAACCCCTTCCTATTACCTTTAAATTAGCCGGTCACACAAGAATGTGAGCCTAAGCTCTGACCAATCAACAGTGAGGGATGCCTCAGAGATAAAACCATAATGTGTGCATGTTCCCAGACCCTGTGCGTGCT